ATGATATACTTGAGGTTTGTCTTGCATAAAGAAACAAGTATCTATTTATTACTTGGAATTATAGTGAACTAATATCAGAAACTTGAAGTTGTGCAACACTGACTATCCTTCGAATAATAATAATAAATGGAATCGAACATATTTTCCATCTTTGCATTGGTAAGACTAAAACACATATATCAGACACCATATTACTAGTCCTTGAAATGTGCCAACTAAAATGAAATACCGGCTTCACCTGTCCTGGATGTCCTCTTATCAATCATGCAATGTTCAAGCTTATAGAATTTGCGAGATATATATCTGTCAAAATTCGCTATGCAATCTAAGTGAAAATGCAAGCCTTAACCCATGCTTAATATAGATCAGGAATCAAAACTGACCGGTCACAAGCGAATATTACAAGTAAATTTTGAGAAAGCAAGTTCCAATACACATGGTAGTTATCAGTTCCGTGAATAATTCAGGAGCAGCGGATGAAATAATATAAGCAGAGGATGCCATAGAGGAGGAAGGCAGAGGTACCAAGTTCTCACTGAAGAGGTAAATTGGTGATGCAGTGGTCGCAGTGCAGGTCGGCAACCACCATGGCGCGACAGAGGAGGTCGACACAGGAAGCATAGCCGCGCCGGAGAGGCGGCAGAGGAGGTCCGGCTCCCCGCCGTCCAGCCCAACTCGCACGAGCGCACCGACCTAGGGGACGCCATCCAGGAGGCGGAGAGGCGGGATGGAGTGCGTTGTCCGACGGAGAGGAGCCGCCGGAGAAGCGTCGGCGATGGACGCGATGCCACAACTGAAACCCTAGCCACGGGATAGGTGTCGTGGACAAGCGCCGGAGACTGGTGCTGGCGGATCCAGACGGGCCGGAGGAGGGAGGGGTCGGAGACTAGCCCGTCGGTGTGCTGTGCGGTGGCAGACATCGCCGAAATCTACAGGTGCTGGTCGCGGCGCGAGGGGTCGCATGAGAGAGAAAGAGTTAGGTTGTGAGAGGTGTGGATCGGTAGGTGATGCGGAGGATCTGCCATCTGCCATAGCTGCAAGGTGAGGTGAGGTGAGGGGGGCGGCGGCGAGCTGTGGGAGGAGGGATGGGAAGAGGTGGTGGGTCACGGCGATGGGGAATGGGGATGCGGCTGCGTGGAGGAGGAGGATGGGAGGAGAGGGCCGTGGAGGAGTGTGTTAGGGTTAGCCTTTTATATGCGAAACGGTTGGGCGGGCTTTAGCAGGCTTTTGACGGGCTTGCGGGGCTGTATCAGACCGTCCATGACAGTTTCTGAAATTGTCATCGCAAATTCGTCATAGATTAACAGATTTCTTGTAGAGTCCTACTCCTACTAGGAGGAGGACTCCTCCCCTCCTTGGCACGCCCCAAGGGCCAGCCGGCCTCCCCCCTGCTCCTTTATATACGGGGCAGGGGGCACCCTAGAAGACACACAAGTTGATGATTGATCCCTTAGGTGTGTGCGGTGCCCTCTCCACCATAATCCACCTCGGTCATATCGTCGTAGTGCTTAGGCGAAGCCCTGCGCCGGTAGCTTCGTCATCACCGTCATCACGCCGTCGTGCTGACGAAGCTCTCCCTCGACACTCTGCTGGATCGTGAGTTCGTGGGACGTCCCCGAGCCGAACGTGTGCAGATGGCGGAGGTGTCGTACTTTCGGTACTAGGATCGGTCGATCGTGAAGATGTACGGCTACATCAACCGCGTTGTCATAACACTTCCGCTTACGGTCTATGAGGGTACGTAGACAACACTCTCCCCTCTCGTTGCTATGCATCACCATGATCTTGCGTGTGGGTTGGAATTGTTTTGAAATTACTACGTTCCCCAACAGTGGCATCCGAGCGAGGTTTATGCATGGATGTTATATGCACGAGTATAACACAAGTGAGTTGTGGGCGATAATAGTCATACTGCTTACCAGCATGTCATACTTTGATTCGGCGGTATTGTTGGATAAAGCGGCCCCGACCGACATTACGGGTACGCTTACGCGAGACTGGTTCTACCGACGTGCTTCGCACACAGGTAGCTGGCGGGTGTCAGTTTCTCCAACTTTAGTTGAGTCGAGTGTGGCTACGCCCGGTCCTTGTTGAAGGTTAAAACAACACGTACTTGACGAAAAATCGTTGTGGTTTTGACGCGTAGGTAAGAACGGTTCTTGCTCAGCTCGTAGCAGCCACGTAAAACTTGCAACAACAAAATAGAGTACGTCTAACTTGTTTTTGCAGGGCATGTTGTGATGTGATATGGTCAAGACATGATGCTAAATTTTATTGTATAAGATGATCATGTTTTGTAACAGAGTTATCGGCAACTGGCAGGAGCCATATGGTTGTCGCTGTATTGTATGAAATGCAATCGTCATGTAATTGCTTTACTTTATCACTAAGCGGTAGCGATAGTCGTATAAGCAACAGTTGGCGAGACGACAACGATGCTACGATGGATATCAAGGTGTCGCGCCGGTGACGATGATGATAATGATGGTGCTTTGGAGATGGAGAACAAAGGCACAAGATGATGATGGCCATATCTTATCACTTATATTGATTGTGTGTGATGTTTATCCTTTATGCATCTTATTTTGCTTAGTTCGACGATAGCATTATAAGATGATCTCTCACTAAATTTCAAGATACAAGTGTTCTCCCTGAGTATGCACCATTGCGAAAGTGATAAGCTCTATGTTCACATATAATGGGTGCAAGCCAGTTTTGCACACGCGGAATATTCGGGTTAAACTTGACGAGCCTAGCATATGCAGATATGGCCTTGGAACACTGAGACCGAAAGGTCGAGTGTGAATCATATAGTAGATATGATCAACATAGTGATGTTCACCATTGAAAACTACTCCATCTCACGTGATGATCGGACATGGTTTAGTTGATATGGATCACGTGATCACTTAGATGATTAGAGACATGTCTATCTAAGTGGGAGTTCTTAAGTAAAACTTAGCCATCTTTGATCAAATGACAACACATGTCTATGGTCAGGAAACTTAGCTATCTTTGATTAATGAGCTAGTCTAGTAGAGGCATACTAGGGACACTCTGTTTGTCTATGTATTCACATATGTATTAAGTTTCCGGTTAATACAATTCTATCATGAATAATAAACATTTATCATGATATAAGGAAATATAAATAACAACTTCATTATTGCCTCTAGGGCATATTTCCTTCAAATGTTGATGCGGGTTTTGACACTGACTCGCAACAAGGATCTGTTGGAGCTGTTGTTAGAGACCATATAGGAAAATGTTTTGCTGCTGCTAATGAAAGATTGGACGTTTGTTATGATGCGTTCACAACTGAAGCGATTGTGGTAAGGTTTGGCCTGAACCTTGCCCGCACTGTTGGATGCAGCAAAGTTGAACTGAATTCGGACAGTTTAGAGGTTGTCGTTGCACTTCAGGAGGGGTATTCTTCTTTGGTGGCGGGTGCTGTTTTTGATGACTGCTACTTTATGTCCTTAGATTTCACCCATGTTATTTTTTAGCACTATAATAGAGAGAACAATAAGGTAGCTCATGAGTTAGCTAGGATAGCTAGATTTACCCCTCCTAATGTTTGGATGGATATTGCCCCAGGGGCTGTAATTCCTCTTATTACTTTTGATGCTACCATTGTAGCCAATTAATACAGGAGGTGGTTATTGTAAAAAATAAGTGCCGCACGGTATGCTGTCACATGTTGTCACCTGGGAGTTTTCTCCTTTTTTGTAAATTCGTTTGATTAGAACGTTCTATCTCTTAAGTCGTGTATCCGAATCTCAAAACGTTTTCACCCTTAGATTCCTTGCATCGAAATCTTCAAAACTAGTTTCCATGTTTATAGGTTTCGACAAACTCTTTTTTTTTCATGAAAAAACGGACAAAATAAATCAAATCGGGAGCATATTTTCCCCTTTTTGAAGAGGCACGATTGTGCTTCTAGCGGAAGCAAATCCATGCCTCTAATGAAAGGAAAAACATGTTTTTTTTACCTTTTTCGAGAGGCGCAGCCATGCCTCTTGCGGAAACAAATTTGTGTCTCTCACGGAAGTAAAATAACGCATTCCCCCTTTCCGATTGTGCCTCTCCACGAGAACTAAATCAGGCCTCCCGTAGAAATAAAACAAGAAAATATGTTTTTTTCCTTTTCCGAGAGGCATGGTTGAGCCTTTTGCGGAAGCAAATCCATACCTTCACGAGAAGTAAATCTATGCCTCTCGCAAAAGAAAAAAGCGTGTTTTTTTCTTTCCGAAAGGCATGACTGTGCATCTCGTAGAAACAAATCCATGCCTTCACAAGAACTAAATTTGTGCCTATCACAGAATGGGAAAAACACATTTATGTTTTCCTTTGCCGAATGGCACACAACTGTGCCTCTTGTAGAAGCAAATCAGTGTTTTTTGTCCAAAACCTAAGAAAAACCGGGATGAAACCCAAAAGCCAAATAAACATCTAACAATAAAAAAATGAGTAAAAAAAGGGGGCCGTCATGTTTGGATGGCTTAACCTCATGATTCTTTTTGTATTGCAAACTCTGTGATCTTTGAGCAATAAAGACTTGGCTTCCCTTAAAAAAAGAGCTCTCCGGTTTTGTCAAGTTACCTCATGTATTTTTCTGTGTTTTTTTAGACAACTGTGTTTTTCTTCTTTAATCGGTTTTCTTTCAGGTTTTTCTTATTCATTTTTTAATGTTTTTATTTTTAGCCCAATATAAATTACTCTCTTCGTTCATTTTTGAAGTCGTTTCAGACAACTCAAAATGAGATGTTTTGCACATTGTCTAAACTGTCTTCAAAGTTTTATAAAAGTGAACAGAGGGGAATAGATTAAGAACTTTAGTCCAATAAGAAACGGTCCAAACAGCGGCGGATTCCGGCCCATGTCTACTCGCGCTCGGATCTGGCCTGGTGAGCCCAGCTCGATATCAGTAGAGCCCTCGCGAGAGTGAGAGAGGGGGTCGACCGAATCCCTAATCCCCAATCCCCAATCCCAAACCTTGAATGCCGCCGCCGCCGCCGCCGTCAATGGATGAGCTGCGTCGGCCGCCCGAGTTCGACCACATGTTCACGGACGAGGCGTGGGCCAGCATGACCCAGGACACGCGGCGCCGGATCGTCGACATCTCGTGCCGGGTGGTAGAGGAGCCCACCCAAGAGGAACGCCGCATGCATCAACTCATCGCCGGCGCCGGCGGGCCCTGCAGCGTCTTCACCGATGCGGCTGCCGTCGCTGAGGTACTGGATTTCGCGGACAGACATCACCGGGAGGCGGAGCGAGAGGACTGGGAGGCGGTGCTGCAAGGGCGGCATTACGCCGACGAATGCGCAGATGACGATGAGGACGGCAAGACCATGACGAAGACGCCGATGGCGCAGACCGTCGACACCCGGCCGCCGAACCAAACATTGTCCAGGGATATACAGAAATCAAAGGCTTTTCTATGGACTAGATACCACCAGCTACACCTCCTACACCGACCCTCACCAGGTAAGCTAATTTTATGTTGCACAAGCAAATCTTTTTACCAATCAGTACTAGCGTTCTTCTTTCCTTTCCAGTCTGATGATGATGATACAAGTGGTAGTATGACCCAAACTACTTGATTTATTCAGCTCGGCCGGGTCCGATGAGATACGCTTCGTGTGAATTTGGTGGTGATGACAGATGCCCACACAATCCTGTCCCTATGCTACAGTTCCTCAATGTTATGGTCGAGCTGTATACGAAATCTTACTGTTTCGTCAAGTTTTTGCGTGAGAATATGGTACAATCGAATAATATCGAGGTCTATGGCGTGATCGCAGTAAGGGATCACCTGGATTTCTCGTGCAACTACATTTTCCATTGCTCTAGAGAGAATGCACAAGCAGTTGACCCAGTATGTAATCCTTCTTTCATACACATCCTTGATGTTATTTATGGAGAATATATCCAATATTAAGTCTGATTATCATTGCTCTTCCCTACATTTTAGAAAGGTGGCTATTTATGCCTGAGGAATCCTGCAAGAGGAATACTCGCAGCATCCTGCTTGATCGAAATTGATATAAAGGCCAAGGCCAAGGTGGCTGCTGAAGACTTGACTATTGTCTCCGGTTGCCTGAAAGCATCTGAACAGTTTGACCCGTGGAGACTGAACCATGTCGATGATATCAACGGCAAGATTACACTGGAAACATGTGTTGTTCCTAGAGGCATGGAGGCTACTATAGACCTGGATTTTGTGGAGGTGCCTGCAGATGGCTTTCTTGTGCGCATGCGTGGCAACACTGTCCTTTCCCAAGGCTCCTACTCCTTCATCGATGAGCACTGCCGTGACACAGTTGGTTTTATACCATCCAGCGGGAAGCACATTCAAAAGTTCGTTGCAGCCGTGAATCTAGGCGACACACTGCGTATAGACTTCATGGAGGAGGGCCAAGACGCGCTTTCGTTTGTGGCGTCCAAGCATGGCGAAGAGGAGCAGATGTATCGGTTTAGCAATGGAGCGTTGGTCTCGGTGCGAGTTGTGTGGTCAACTATATTAAGTGTAGACGACTATGAAGAATGATCAGTGGCGCCCAGTTTTCAAAGTCAGCTCCTTTGTCGGTGTTGGAGTAGCCTGAGTTATCTTTTTCTTAGATGGAAGGCGGGAGAGAATGATATCCTATTTGCTATTTTAGCCTTGGTGTAAGTGTGCACAAGTAGATGCTGATTAGTGCTGTAATAATGTTTAAAACCGGTTGATCCTGACTTTTTCGGTGATGGTGTAACACTGACGATTACATGGTTGATCATTTAGTAGATGCTCATTAGAAGTTATATGAATGGTCAATGTCACTTATTCGTGTATTTGAAGGGGCACTTATTTCTGGTCTGCTGATCATATAGTGCTAATGCCAGTTCTGGCAAACTTTGTGAAACTTGCCCAAAATAGTCTGTCTATGAATTTCTGAAATTATAAAAAAAATTAAACCTGACATATAATTGAAATGTTTTTCATATATGAATTATGTTTGGCGCTCTTATGAAATCAGCAAAGAAGTGTTTTTTAAGCCAGACGCAATTCAAATTCAATGTAACTCGTGTGTTTTATCTCTGTAAGTAGAAATGAGAGAGAAGGAAGAAGAACTTGTGTTTGACACTTATGATATGAAATCAGAGAAGCCAATCAAATACAAGAACTGAGACGCTATTACACTTATTCCTCATATAGTGCTTAATTAAACTGTGTTCCAAATATCTCCCTTAGCCATATTGCAAGCTTGTCCTAGCTCTTTACTTTGAGAAGGTTCTCGGATAACCAAGGTAATCATAGGAAGATACTGTTAAGGCATCTCCAGCCGTTGGCCCCCCAGGAGGGGCAAAAAATCGCCCCCTGGGGGCGCACCGGCGCTAAACCACGCACTGGGGGCGTGATGCCCCCCAGTCGCGGCCCCCCACGGGTTTTTAAAAAAGTTAAATACGGCGCAAACACGACTCAAATTTAACGCAAACATCAGCGAGTTCGTTCAAATTTAAACATACTTTACAAAAAAAGGGAAAAACTACCGCGGGCTACCCCCGCCGTCTCCCTCGCCGCCCGCCCACGCGGTTCTACATGCCGAGGAGGCGGTAGAACCGCGTGTAGTCACCGCCGCCGCCACCGTCGTCGTCGTCGTCGTCGCCCCCGCCGACGCCTCCGCCGTCCCTGCTGCATCCCTCCCCCGGTTGGCGCGGCGGGTTGGACGGTCCGGGGCGTCGTCGTCGTCGACGCTGAGGACCACGACGCCGTGCTCGTCCTCGCGCCCACGCTTGCGGGCGGCGATCTCCTCCAGGGCCCGGCGCTGCCGGACCATCTCGTCGCGGAGATAGTCGTCCCGCGCCCACCGCAGGGCGTCCTCGTCGGAGAAGCCATGCCGGGCTATCTCCTCGTACTCCACGGGGAGGCCGGGCTCCGGCTTGGGCTCGACGAGGACGAAGCGGCCGGTGGGGGAGGCGTTGTCGCCGATGCGGATGTCGGAGCTGCGGGTGCGCGCGCTGACAGGCGCGCCCTGGGGCTCCGGCTTGACGGGGCGGAGGTGGAGGCAGGGGGAGCCGCCGGACGAGGAGGAGGACCCCCCGGTCTCCATGCGCCTCGGGATCCAGGAGCTTCCCTGGCGGCGTGTGAAGGACGGGGGAGCGGGGTACTCGAGGCGCGGCGTGTTGCCGCCCTCGATGTACTCGAGGACGGCCTCCAACGTGCGCCCGGGCACGCCCCACCACCGACGCCGGCCGACGGCGTTGAGCCTGCCGGAGGGCTCGACGCCATTGATGGCCTCGAGCTGCTCGGCGTGACGGCGGCGGAAGTAGGGCTCCCAGAGCGGGCTGTCGGGGACGTACCGTGGCCCCTCCCTCGCCGCACGCGGCAGGGACGAGCGGATGCGTGCGATCTCCGCACGCCGTGCCGCGCCGGTGGGTATCGGGGGCACCGGCACGCCGCCGGCGCTGATCCTCCACGCCCCGGGTACCCGCATGTCCGGCGGGACCGGGTACTCGGCCTCGAAAAGGAGGCGAGCCTCGCTCTTGTGAAGATGGCGGCGGCCGAAGCCGTTCGCCTCCGCGCCGCCGCCTGGGAAGCGCTCGGCCATGGGTGCTGGAGACGGCGAGAGAGAGGAGAGGGAGGAACGACGACGGTGAGAGAGAGGAGAGGGAGGAACGCCGACGGCGAGAGAGTACGAGTCGCCGAGTGCGCTGGGACGCGTCTTATATAGGCCGAGGCGCCGCCCGTGCGCGAGCCGCTGTGAGTACGCGTGGCGGGCGAGGGAGGGCGAGGGACGCGCGTCATCCGGTCTTCACTGCGCCGCCCGTGAGGCATCAATGGCGCAGGCTGACCGGCGCGGCAGCGCGGCAGCTTTGGCATTGATTCGCCGCAAGAAACGAGGCGATGAGGATGACGAAGGGGCGAGAAGAGGGTAGAGTCGCTGACGCGGCGGGCCCGCGGCTGTTTCGCGCCAAAACAATTCGCCCCGGCGCCCCCGGGCGCCCCCCAGCGCGCCGGGTTCGGCCTGGGTCCGCCGGCGCTGTTTTCGGCCCAAGCCGGCGAAAATCGGGCTCCTGGGGCGCGACTGGGCCGATTTTTCGGCGCCGGCGCAAAAAAAACGCCTGGGGAGGCCTTCCTGGAGGCGCGGCTGGAGATGCCCTTAGGTAGAAAACCTTAAGCTAGGGAAAATTCTAGAGCAAAATACTTTTGGTGTTCACCATGCGCCGCCGTCTTCTTGCTTTTGTTTGAGATAAGTTAAGAGCTCGGACTGGGATCTGAAACTGGATTAGGGGGACTAGAGTTTCCTCCCTTACAGAAAAAGAGGGCTTTTGCCAAATTGAGCTCACTCCAGTTTTCAGTACATACAGGAAACTTTCTGATGCATTACTAGCAAGTAGACTTGCTGGGCCACTGTAAAGCATCTGCAACCAAGTCAGTAGACAATGGCAGAACAATGGCTCCTCCTGCCGATTGATTTGAGCGCTGTATTCACCCAACCACGCCCTTCACTGTAGCACTCTACCTGACAAGTTTATCCAACATAAAGGTTCCAACTGTTAGTTAGTCAAAATTATAAGAATAAGAACAGACAAGTTCATACATCAGGAGTTTCCACACTGACACACATACATACATGCAATGCAACCACAAGTTTACTACTCCCTCTGTAAAGAAATATAAGAGTGTTTAGATCACTACTTTAATGATCTAAATGCTCTTATATTTCTTTACGGAGGGAGTAGTATGTTCTATAACTATATACAATTTGGACATTAGCAATCTGATGCTTGATAGATTTACTGATGCAAGCATAGATCTTGGTGTAGCTACCTACCACGTCTAAGATGTTCTGTTCTGGATCTTCCAGGCCACCGAATGTGAATATCGAGCCACCAAGCACGGCTGAAGAATGGCACGCCTTGGAATACTTCATTGGTTCGACTGCCACCCATGATGGCATCCTTGGGTCGTACAGCTCAACAGTGGCCACCCCTGCTCTAGCCTCAGGATTGTAACCACCAATCGAGTATCTGAAAGCAACAAATGGCAAGACAAGTTAGGTATCTGCAACTCATGACTACACCATCAACAATGCTTGGAGGCAAGTTTTGGTGGATCCTCCTAAGTTGTAAGAAAGAGCTAGCTCCATACTTACATCTTCTCATCAAGAACTGCCAGCGTATGGAAGCATTTTTGTGTACTCATCGTTGGGAGCATTTTCCAGTGAGGTTCCCTAGGATCAAGTCTCTCAGCGCAGCTGGCAACCAACACCATAATGTTAGCCAAAAAAGTCCATGTATTATTCTCACTTCAACAACAAGTTCACCACCATGAAAGCCATAGGAAATAGTCTAATGAGCATTGTGAAATGATTCATGGGTTACGGTCTGATTGTATCCCTGATAATCAGTAGATTAAGTGCTTAAGTCTAAAGAAACGATTCAGTTGATTACAGATTTACACTAGTCATTCAGTGTACAGTACTTTAACTTTAAGCCAATTATTTATCCACCTTTTGAAATAGAGGATTCGCATGGGATTCACAAAGTCATTAATCAACATGAGTTTGTAACAGTAGCTCTACATACAGGCAGCAAAAGGACATCACCTCCAAGTTTCAATACCAGCATATCCACCAACCGCATAAATCGCACCATTGAGTTTCACACCAGCTAGAGCAGAGCGCTGAGGACCAAGTGGGATAAGTTATTCAGATAAAAGAAATCATCACATCCTGCATAGGTACAAAATCATATCCCAGAACAACATTATAAAGAACTAAGTAAGAAACCAAACTAGTAAGTAGAAAAATAAGATGGCATTTTGAGAGCACTATAAAAGTATGCATTTCATTGAGCAGATTATATCTCTCCACGACTTGTCCTTGTTTCAGGCGAGGTTTAGGTACATTGTAAAAAGTAAAAAGATGGTAAAGACTGTTGTCAACGATAAGGAAATTTGCAAAATGAAAGCAAATAAACGATGTAGACTAATAGCTAAGAGTTTGAAGCAATTCTAAATTTTTTACTATCTCAAATGAAAACCCAGTAACTAACAAGCTAGTTAATCAGTAACCACATTTTTTTCTGAAGAAAAACACCACATTATTTCCTTCTTCTGGGTAGAGTACTATCAAATCACTGGTAATTTTATTTTCTTGCTCTGCAACATATACAGCAAACCCAAGATCAAATCAAACCATTACTTAATAACGGTAAACTGAATCAAGGATGATATGTTAAAAATGTAGGTAGCATAGGCTGATTCTTTATCCACTTCCCATATGCAGGATCGAAGACCTCAACATCAAGAAAAGATTCAGAACCATCTCCACCACCAAATGCATAAATTTTCCCACACAAGCTAACTCCGGCAAGGTTTGCCTTTGCACGGGTCATTGGTGGGCATAGGGTCCAATCATCAGAGGTTGTGTCATAACAGCAAACTTCATGATAAAGATTAAAAGCACATATTAGGGCAGAAACGGCAACCAGAAAGATTTTGGGAAGGTAAACATAAAAATGATCACCACCTGCATCAATGCTGCTTCCATACGGATGATCAGCACCGCCCAGAACAAATATTCTGTTGTCTAAGGCAACAGTAGAGTTAAAAAGCCTTTCATCCGGCATTGGTTTCATAGGTATTAGTACGTCCAGGGAGGGCGAAAAGCATGAGAAACCTAGTGACGATGGACAAAACATGTCATCTAGACCACCAACAAGATAAATGACGTCTGAACCCAAACACTGTTTAATCAACTGGTTTACTGAATCATTTAGGGGTAAAGGGTCTATTTGAGAATTCAGGTTCTTCACAGTGCCATTCAGCTCAACAACTTTTTTCAGTAACCTGCCATTTTCTCCACGTAGGTATTTGACTTTGTCGATGGAGCAAGCCTGCATTCAATTATGCCAAAATATCAGGAACATAACACCAAAGGAAGCTAATTAGTAAAGGGTTTCCAACATTTAAAAACTGCTTGACCCTCCACATAAGAAGATAGTAAACTTGTTTAAACTACAGTCTACCTGAAAAGTTAACTACACGTAAGAACTTTTTCATATATGAGCAAATTCCATTTCATCATGAGTTAGAAGGATGACAAACATCTTATTGTTTCCTAATCTTTAAGATCCAAAGGTTCAGTGTAACATACATAAGGCATTTGAACATGGTACATCATTTGAAAACAGACCTGTTTCTTCTCCATAGTCGCTACACGCTCAGAGAGCTCTTCAACCACACCCATCAACTGCAGAGACAAAATAAATGTGAGATATTTGAAGATAGACAATAAGCAGCATTTTAGCAGCGGTGGCATTTGAATTAGACAAACAAGAAAGCAGGATGTTGGCAACACAAGCATCTGTGGGCAGTTACAACTCGTATTGTTTGCTTCTGAATAGGATTCATAGTCCAATCTGTGCACTATCAAAGTAGAATGCCTTGAATAAGCTTCAGGCAGTAGGCAAAAAGACACTAGTGTTACCAATCCATGAGAGAGTGCAAGGCATGCGACAGTGACATTGCTTAAACTAACGAGCAGCATACACATACCTGGTCGAATAGCAGCACATCCTCAGTGCCAGAGGTGCTACAGCCAACACTTTCAGCGTAATGCAGCCCTTGCAGTACCCCTTCCCTGTCACGTCGCTCCATTTGCCAGTGATATTCTTCTGCGGATTTCAAGACCTCACGAACAGCATCTTTTTTTTTGGAAAAGGGGTGATTCCCCGGCCTCTGCATCAGAAAGATGCATACGGCCCTCTTATTAGCCAAAAAGTAGTGTCAACATGGTTCCAAAGGTCTCAAAAATAAAAGCACAAACAGCTCACACAGAGCCAAAGAGGGGCTAGAAACACCAACTAGCCGAGAAAAGACGCCACAACCGGCTGGCTAAAAAAAAAGATAGGAGATCAAGCTATCCTATTACATGACCGCCATCCAAACCGGTTGAAAATATCCCGAGCTACCATCTCCCATCGGAAAGACCCAGTAACCAAATGCTCCCTGGCCTCCGTCTGGGTGAGTAGCGACCACGAACGGATCAGTGCCGTAGTTCGGAATATGACCTGCAAAAAATGTATACATGATATTCTGTTAAAAACCAAATCATTTCTGCAAGTCCAGATAGTCCACAGCAAAGCACAAACTCCAACCCGAATATGTCTCGCTAAGTTAGGCTCAATCCCATTAAGCCATGTCCCAAATAACGCATAAACAGAATTCGGTGGAGTGATACTAAAAGCAATGTGGATCATCTGCCAAAGTACCTTGGCTAACGGGCAATCAAAAAAGAGATGTTTGATAGTCTCATCCCGATCACAGAAACTACATCTAGTAGGTCCTGTCCAATTACGCTTCAAAAGATTGTCCTTCGTTAAAATAACTTGTTTATGGACAAACCACATAAACACTTTTATTTTCAAAGGAACTTTGACATCCCAAACATGCTTGGACGTAGGGATGGAGTATGAGTTAATAACATCAATATACATTGATTTAACCGTAAATACTCCAGATTTAGTCAGTTTCCAGCGTAATTCATCGGGTTGTTGTGTAAGCTGGACTTCCATCAATCCCCTAACTAGATGGAGCCATTGTTCCCAACGATTGCCCGCTAGCGTTCGTCTGAACTGAATATTAAGGGGGATCGATTGAAAGACCGATGCAACGAACACCTCACGTTGTTGCACAATACGATATAACGACGGATATTGGATGGCCAAGGGTGTCTCGCCGAGCCAAGTATCCTCCCAGAAACGTGTACTCGTGCCGTTTCCAATGACAAACTTCGTCCTATTAAACAAAGACTGTTTGACTTTCATCAAGCCTTTCCAGAAAGGCGAATTGGTCGGCCTAACAGTGACCTGGGACAAAGTTTTTGTCTGGAGGTACTTGTTGCGAAGGATTTGAGCCCACATAGCGTCATTCTCCAATGAGAGCTTCCACAGCCACTTGCTAAGAAGGCAGACCTCCTTGGTCTTTCGGTCTACAGATGATGTCCCATTTAGCAAGCCGATATTTTCTTTTAAGCTCATCACCCTGCCAAAAGAAGCGCGATCGATAGAAGTCCAGTCTCTTCCTAACCCCAACTAGGACCTCAAAGAACGATAGGAGAAACATTGGCATACTCGTGAGCACCGAGTTAATCAGGATTAATCGGCCTCCGTATGACATGAGCTTACCTTTCCAACAACTCATTTTTTTCTCAAACCGATCCTCGATGCACTTCCACTCTCTGTTAGTCAGCCTACGATGGTGGATTGGAATCCCCAGATAAGAGAAGGGTAACTCGCCCAACTCACACCCAAACAATTGCCGATAAGCCTCCTGTTCATCTTTGGCCCTACCAAAGCAGAACAGCTCGCTCTTATGAAAGTTAATCTTTAACCCGGTCAATTGTTCAAATAGGCATAGCACCAGCTTCATATTTCTCGCCTTGGCCAAGTCATGCTCCATAAAGATGATTGTATCATCAGCGTACTGAAGGATTGATACTCCTCCATCAATTAGATGAGGTATCAATCCCCCTACTTGACCATTTTCCTTAGCCCTTCCTATCAAAATTGCTAACATGTCCACCACAATGTTGAACAAGATAGGGGACATCGGATCTCCTTGTCTTAGGCCTTTATGTGTCTGGAAGTAATGACCTATGTCATCATTAACTTTAATTCGCACACTACCTTTTTGCGTAAATGATTCAACCTGTCGGCACCAGGCTTCGTCAAAACCTTTCATACACAATGACTGTTGGAGGAATGGCCATTTGACCTTATCGTACGCTTTCTCGAAATCCACCTTAAAAATTACTCCATCTAATTTTTTGGAATGGATTTCATGGAGTGTTTCATGCAGGACGACCACCCCTTCAAGGATATTTCTGTCCGGCATGAAAGCAGTTTGAGACTGCTGCACCACAGAATGCGTAATCTGTGTGAGTCTGTTTGTCCCGACCTTGGTGAAAATTTTGAAACTAACATTAAGGAGGCAAATCGGCCTGAATTGCTCAATCCTCACCGCGTCCGTCTTCTTGGGAAGCAGTGTGATAGTCCCAAAATTCAAGTGGAATAATTGAAGCTGGCCACAAAACAGATCATTGAACATAGGTAGTAAATCCCCCTTAATAATGTGCCAGCACTTTTTATAAAACTCTGCCGGGAATCCATCCGGTCCGGGAGCCTTATTGTTTTTCATTTGCGCAATGGCATCAAACACCTTCTCCGAGAACGGGGCAACCAGAATATTATTATCGGCAGCCGAAAGCTGAGGCACATCCTCAGTCCTGAACTCATCGAGGGACACACAATTATCCTTCGGAGGTCCAAACAACTGCTTATAATAGTCGGTAATATATGCTTTTAGGTCGTCCTGACCTAAAATGGTACCCTCGTCTTGCTCAAGCTGAAAGATACGCTTCTTTCTGTGCTTGCCATTGGCTATCAAATGGAAGAACTGAGTATTCGCATCCCCTTGGACTACTTTGCATACTTTAGCACGCAAAGCCCACTTCAATTCTTCTTCGCGGAGCAGTTCTTTCAGCCTCTTCTTCGCCTCATTTTTAGCCTGAAGCTCAGTTGGCGCTAGGATATTGGATTCGGCCTGTATGTCCAGGGCCTGTATAAGAGAAAGGAGTCTATCCTTTTCCATCTTATACTCACCACTGAGGTTCTTAGCCCAGCCCCGTAAGAAACTCCTTAAATGCCTAATTTTATTCTGCCAACGCTCTAACGCAGTCTTGCCTCCAAGACCTCTAGCCCACTCCTGGGTAATCAAATCCAAAAACCCCTCACGTTCAAACCATGACATCTCGAAGGAGAAGGTATTCTTGTTACCCACATGGTTCGGCTCCCCTGAGTCGACGAACAATGGGGTATGATCAGATAGGCCCCTTGAAAGAGCTTGCACCGTAACCAGAGGAAACTTTTGTTCCCACTCCATGCTCGCAAGCACTCGGTCAAGTTTTTCATAGGTTGGGTGTGGTAGAGCATTAGCCCAGGTGAACTTTCTACCGGAAAGCTCTATCTCTCTCAGATCCAAGCTTTCAATAATAGTATTGAACATGAACGACCATCTGCCGTCAAAATTATCATTGTTCTTCTCGTCTCTCCTCCTGATGATATTGAAATCACCTCCAAGTAAAATTGGAAGCTGTTCTACCCCACAGATACGAACCAGGTCCGCCAGAAACTCCGCTTTAAGCTCGGGCTGTAAGGCACCATATACCGCCACCAAAGCCCAGTTAAAACCATCTATCCTAGACCTGACTCGAAACTTCACCGCGAAGTCGCCCATCACCACACTTCGGACTTCAAGCGAATCGCATCTCACACCCAGTAAGATACCACCCGACCTTCCCCGCGGAGGGAGGCGATGCCAATCAAAAGCAATACCACCCACCAACGAAGAGAGGAACTGGGGTGCAAAGTTATCTCTACCAGTCTCCGATAGAGCAACAAAATCTAACCTCTGCTCTAAAGCTATCTCAGCAAGGAATCTTCTTTTAGCCAAGTCCTTCAGACCTCTGCTATTCCAAAATATTCCTCTCATAATTCATCATGGAATTTTTTAGTGGTTCGAATCCTAGCACTCCTACGAACGGCGGAATCTGCATAGATCTTCCGATTCCACTTACGCTTAGGTTTACTAGGTTCTGTCGCCCGGTCCTCATAACCGGGTTCACAAATATTACTATCCTCAGTCTGTAAGGGAACATCATCTTCGTCAGAGTCATGATTGTGTGGTGCTAAATCCGCACATAGCTTATCTAGCACTCTGACCCCTAACGCATCAATCTCATCATCCTTCATTGGTTTAACGGCTGCAAGGTTACGAATAGTCTCTAGGGCACGTTCCGCCTCCAAATCTAATAAATCATTCACCGAATTGGAAATCTCACTATCCGTAGCCCCTAGTGAAACTCCTAATTGGTTTGCATTATTTATAATCTCCTCATTAGAAAAATGCAATAACGAATTAGATATGTTGACGTACATACCGGAAGACAAAGCAGCCTCCTGAAGCTTGGTCGCCCTCATAGCGCACCGCTGCTGTATATCATCTATCTCGGGGACGTCCAGGATGCGAGCACTCATCCGTCTCCCCTCGGCGATCGGGTCCGGGATCCCGCCAAACGTGACCACCTCCTCCCTAGTCACACCTGGCATAGAGCCACTCGAAGGCTCTACCGGGGTTACCAGAGAAGGCGTCTGCGGGCTCCCGATCCCCTTAGACGGGAGTCCCACACTAGGGACCCTGGTCATGGGTAGGGGCGGAGAGGAGGTGATGACGGGGGCCGCCTGCCCGCGCCCTCCTCCGATCTCAGCCGCAGGCTCAGACGCATGAGCCATCGGCGAGGGGGAGCCAAGGCCTCCTGCCCCAGCACCCCCCAGCTCCGCTGCTGCCGCGGTGGTTACCGCCACCGTCGGGAAAGCAGGAGCCGAGGCCGCCTGCCTCGGGATCCCGCTCCTCGTACCGGCCGACCCACACTGGGCCGGCGTGACCGACATCGCCGAGGGCGTGGTGGGGTGGGGAGAAGGCGAGGCCACTTGCCCCGAAGCTCCTCCCCCATGACCCACCTTGCCCGTAGACGTCGACACCGGAGCCGCGTCCGCCTGGGGCGCCAGTGCAAGAGAAGCTCCCTCCAGGCTCCTCTCCGTAGCTCCGACCATAGTCCTGGCCTGGCGACCCGCAAACAAACCAGCCTCCCCCTCGAACTCCAACGGGGGGAGCGCGTGCTCAAGACAATCATCAGAATCTACCCGGTCACTCCATAATTTGGGAGGTGCCGAGGCTGGCTCAGAGGACCCAAAACGCAGAGTAATCATGGGCACCGCTGAGGAAGCAGCAGGCTCAACCCCGGTCCCATCCCCGGGCAACTGAGAAGAACCATTAGACCCCTCGCGCGTGGGCTCATCTGACGGTGCCCCCTTGGCCCCGGCATTGCCATCACTGTCTTGCATGTCAACATCATTACCATTAACCGCATCATCAAATAAATCCGTGTCCTCAAACTCGATGTCTAGCGGGAACACCACTCCCCTGTAAGTCCAGTTGACCTTATCGGGCACGAACTCAATATCCAGAACACTCACTAATATCCGGGCCACCCCATGGGCACGTGTGAAAGCCATATCCATTTTTTCTGTCTTCCCCACCATTATGCCCATGCTAGCCACCACTCGAGCGTCCTGCAGAGGCTTAGATGGAGCCCCTGTAAACCGCAACCAGACCTGCGTAAGCGGCTTCCCCTTAGGCTCAACCTGCTTCCACTCATGGAACTCCAAGATACACGTAGTACCGGGAACTTGACACAGGCCAAAGCTCAACAATCTCTGCAAATCATCCACAGTTGGGAACTCAACCTTAAAAGACCTGTCCTCGATAAGCACCAGTTCCCATCGAAAATCCCCGGGAGCCAACTCCTGAAGCCTCTTCACAATCTATGCCTCAGTCACCTCGCCCTAGGTTGCTTTCACAATCCCGGTAGTCAAGCTCAGGGTATCCTCCGGGACCTCTCTCGCCGCCGGGGACTCGAAAAACATGAGCTCAGCACAATAGACTCCATAAATGTTCAGCGTCGGAGGCAGGTCCCGCAACAACGGGCACTCCCTAGAATCGTGTACCGGCTTGCCACACGTCTCGCACAGTTGGGCCACACATTCAGCAATGAAGTGACCCTTCTCACCGCAGCGGTAACAAAGCATCCTTTCCTTCTTTCGAGCATATTTGGACGCCCTTTCAGTAGCCTCCTCCATCGTCCCAGCCTCAGGAACCTCGACACTGACCCAGGCGTTTACCTCCATCGGCTGGGGCTCGGTGGGAGTATGTTCATCCTCCGCTGTAGACACCGCGGGATCAACTGCCCTGGGCGGGGGCGGTCGGCGAAACCTCCCACGACCCCCACCCCGACCACCACGATGGCCACGAAATCCTCCTCTTTGACGGTGGTCCGGGCTGAAAGCCCCCTCAACGAAACCACCTGCCGGGCCGAGAAACGGTCTCTCAGCAGACCCGTCACTCTGCCAGGCATAGCCCCGGCCGCCCCCCGTGGATGAAGACCCACGATGCTATCCCTCTCCATACGCGTCCGAACCGTCGTCCCCCCACTGACCCTGGGGCGGGTCATAGGACTCTGTTGTGTTGGAGCTTTGTCTCGTTTGCAATGATCCCGAACGATCCTGAGCAGGCCGCGCGACGTAGTGTGGTGGAGGCTTGGCACGAGGCTGGTTGCCGACAGATGGCGCAGCTCCCGAGGCCGCACCACCCCGACCCGGTGCCGCCGCGCCCGGCGCCGAGGGCCGTGTCCCGCCTCGACCTGCGGCCGGTTGTACACCAGTCATCACGCCCGGTGCCGGGGGCCGAGTCCCGCCCCAACCCGCAACCGTCTGCACGGCGACCACTCCTGGTGCCGGAGGTCGCGGCCCGCCCCGACCGGGCGAAGGCAGCGGTGGCACTTGCCCTGACCGGTGGGCGCCCAAATTGCCTGCTCCACGACCAGGGAAGCCGGGCACCGCGCCATCACCCGCCGGTGCCCCACGCCCGGTACCGTAGCTGTCGGCGGCGCAGCCCCGCCCCGACCCGAGGGAACCACCGCGACGGTTTTCTTGGCCGGCGGCGCTGCCGCCCCGCGGCCAACCATAGGCCGGAGAGGCGTGATCCTCTTCGCCCGACCCAAACCACACGGTGGGAACCCCGGAGTCCCTCGCCTAAGAACCCTAGTGCTAGCAGTCAACGGCGCGAGAGCAGAAGAGAGAGATCGCGATGCGTTCGTGCATGGGAGTTCGCTACGTAGGAGATTCAGGTCCGGTCTAGCCTGGGCCACATACCCAGCCATCCCAGGCCCATCTCCTCGCCTCCCCGACCGACACAAAGTCGGCCCATCGCAGCCCACCAAAAAATTCAAACGAGCCGATCGCATCTCAGCGATCTGGGAAGGCTCTGCGGACGCCATGGCCGGCGCCGGCGCCGGATGCATGCCCCTCCGCTTCCCGTTCTTTCGTTTCTTAACAGAAATCCATGACTCCGGCCTAATCATGTCGAAAAGAGTAAGATTCGGAAGGCGTACCTTAGGTATAGGGCCCTTCCATGGCCTGACCGCCGATGCCGCATTTCTCCGATGAACGACACGTCGTACCAATTCCTTCCTCTCGTCCGGATGAAGCCCCACCCGCGCCGGATCTTCCACCGGCTCCACCGTGTCTACGTTATTGGCGACCTCATCTTCATCATAACCTGCATGAAATAGATCGCCTATCAGATCCGAAGGCGTAGGTGACTGTGGCGAACGTATCGCCTTGTCTCCATCTCCGGCAACATCCTCGTTGTCTGACTCCATCAGGGCCCAAAACTGGCCGCCAATGCCTGCCCGAGCCGCCGCGAGGAGGCATGGCGCGGCGGCGGCCTCCGCGGTCCCCTGGGGAAACACCCTAGGAATCGCCCGGGGAGTCGCCCCCCCCAGTCGCCTCGCCCATCGCCCCTCTTTCAAGAGTATGCTTATATAGATAGCTCACGAACAGCATCTGGATCCACGAAGATCCACTGGTAGAAAAAAGCCCTTTAGTCCCGGTTCGCAACAGCCTTTAGTCCCGGCTGTGCAACCGGGACTAAATAAGCGCGACTAAAGACCCCCCCCTTTAGTCGCGGCTCTTACGGACCGCGACAAAAGTCTTTAGTCCCGGTTCTTGTGGCTGACCGGGACCAAAGGCCCGCCACGTGGGCGCCCGTGGTCCGTCGGGGCCGAGGACCTTTAGTCCCGGCTCTCGTGGCCAACCGGGACTAAAGGCCTCTTCCTTTTTCTTTTTTCTTTCTTTCTTCTTCTTTCTTTCTTCTTCTTCCTTTCTTCTTCTTCCTTTCTATTCTTTCTTTTTGAAATTTTTTATTTTCAAATTTCTGAATTATTTTAACCTCTAGTCTGTAATCACCACCCCTCATCACTTCTCAATTTATTCTTTTATCACCCCTCATCATTCCAAATCATCTAACTTCCCAACCGGTCACCCATCCCTCTCACTACTCCAGCCCAAGCACGCTTAACTTCCGGGTTCTATTCTCCCACGCTCCAAGTCTGCACTTGTTGTTTTCCTGACAATAATAAGATGTCAATCCTATTAACCTTCAGGAATTTTGCTTGAGCATGAAGTGACACATTTCACTGTTTGAGTTTGAAACTGTTGTTTTAAAAAACAATAATTATTTAGTAACACTAATATTTCTTGAATAATTAGTTTGACCATTGTTTGACCACAGTTTGACCACAGTTGACCACATTTTGACCAGATTTGACCAAAATTGAAATAATTAAAATAATTATTTAGTAACACTAATATTCTAGAATAATTAGTTTGACCATTGTTTGACCATAGTTTGCCCACTGTTTGAATATTTTTCAATTTTTTCCACTCTAGATCTTAAAAGCCCCGTATCTTTTTTCTATTAGGTTTTTGAGGACTTAATTTGGATGTAACTTTTCGAGTAGATGATTTTTCATATAAAAAACTTTTTCATCCGAGTTAGTATGCAAAAGTTATGCCCATTTTTACAAATTTCAGAGAGATTTTGCAAATAAAGTCAAAATTCACATTTGCAAATTCTCCCAACAACTAGACCACATATCACATGAGAAACTTATTTTCTTTTATTTTTTTGACATTTCCATTATTTTATTTTATTTTTTTT